AATGTGCATTGTTTGCGCGTTGTGGGTGCGGTTGGAAGAGGAGGAGGGGAGGCCAAGTGATGACTTGGTCGAGAGAAATGAAAACCCTCACTTTGAAGTTGGCGTCGGTTGGTGCATCCCGATTGCCTGGCTGGGGCCCTAAGGACGGTGAACACGTTTGGTTGGACACACTTGCTGATATGGCATGGAGCCGACCCCAGTGGCGTTTGTGTTGTGAGTTCCTTTGTCCATCCCCCTCCTGCTTAGCATCCCCCTCCAATCATGATCTCACCTGATAGGTATAATATGACTCTTTTACGGCAGCCAGCTGTTAGCTCTCCGGAATGATGTCCATCCGTTACTGGGGACTCAGCGGGCGTGCCACCGTTTGTTTTCCTTTTCTTGTCTTTTGTATTGCGGCACGATAGCTGAGGTGTTTTCCACCTCCAGCTAACGTGTAATGATGATGATGATGATGAGTACTTTGCCTACGCATATCATTGTTGCGGATACGCTGGTGTCACCCGACACCAGCAGTGGTTCGTAGACAACGATAACCAAAGACTTGAAGGCGCGTCAAATCCTCAGATCGAAAGAATCAAGTCTCACTCCCATATAGTAATATGGCTCTTACAGTGGCCTTGTAAACACGACCTTTCTGGCGGAGAGCAACACCATTTTGTAGCCAAAGATGTTGCAGATTCAGGAAGCCACTACTGACTTTTGGAATCCGTGAACTGGCTTCAGTTGCTATGCGCCCATCTTTACTGATACGGTTGTCAACGTAGGTGATTTAATCAACTAGATTGAGTTCCTGGCTATCAAGAGTCAAGAGGTCATCAAGTGACTCACGGTCCTGCAGCAACGCTTTGCACTTTAAAAGTTCGAATCGCATGCCAAATAATGGGACCACTCTAGAGAGGCTATTCAGGGTTGACTGCGCCACCCCAACATAGTTAAATAGCAAGACGATATCATCCGCATAATCAAGATCAACTAGCATTTAAGTAGGCAATACCTCAACGGCTGCATCTTGAGGCTGCGCATGGGAACACTCCATGATGAAGCCCACGAGGAAATTGAACAACAATGGGAAAATTCGACAACCCTGACGAACGCCACTTGTTGTCGGAAAACTATCCGAGAGGTCATCGTAGACCCTGACGCGGCGTGTAGTGGTCGAGTATAGAACACGCAAAATGTTCACATAGTTCATGGAACGCCTTTCCGCGCAAGTATTTCCAACGGAATGCGTCAATCGACTGAATCTAATGAACTCTCGAAGCCCAGGAACACAGCTATTTTGGTATGCGGTATGCGTGGCGCTGCTCTAGCACCTGCCGCAGAGTGCATATATGGTGTGTACAGCAACCTCCTGGGCGGAAACCTGCCTGCTCTTTCCTAATCCAAGATTCCGGTTCCGCGGTGAGGCGAAGAACGAATCTTGAGGCCAGTAATTTCGTCACATATAGCGTTAGGCTAATACAACTATGGTTAGCACAGTCGGTGCGACTGACCTTCGAGTATACTGACACTATAATCGATTCACTCCAGTTAGCCGGGACACTCTTCTCCTTCTAAATATGTTCAAACAAGGTGGTCATTGCTTTGCAGAGGACCTCACCTCCATCCTTGAATGATGCAGGTGGGAGGGAATCCGGGCCAGCACACGAAAACGATTGAGGGCTGCGATCGCGCTTCGGACCTCAGCCTCCGATGGAGCCTCTAAACTGACCGGCCATGGTTCGTCCTGCATCAGCTGAGTAGGAAGAGGTCTGTGAGCAGGTGGCCAGCTGAACTGATCTCGAAAGTGTTCCGCCAAACACGCCATAAGATGTTTTTTATTGTGAATCAGTGCCCTCGCGCTGTTTCTGGGACCAGTGGTGCGGATTAGCTGGAAGAGCTTGCGATAATTGCCTACTGCACCTGCATCCTACATTTCTTGAGCCCGACTAGTCAACCAGGCTTCTTTATCAGCACGCAGGCTGCGCTTTAGTTCCCGCCTAATAGTCCGTTTGGACACATTGTGCTCAGAGACAGTAAGGAGTATTCTTCTGGATTCCAACAAGTTCACCATTCTCTCGGGTATCCAGAGACTGTCGCGGTGACGATTGACAATACCGCAAGCGGAGGCTCCTGCATCGTGCATGGGCGCCGAGGTCCAATTCCATTGAAGATCTGTATCATCATGACAAGAGAGTGAAAATTCGGTACGCAATACATCCTGGTAGATTTACTTTACCGAGGGCTGCGATAACTTCTCACTTGCCAATCGAAGGAGACACTTGATGCGCCTCCCGGTGCAGTTCATGGAAAAACGACAGCGTACCAACACATGATCAGATTCGACGCAAGTATTCCAGAACACGCGGCAACCCAATATGAAACTACGCCGCTTGTAACTTATGGCAATGCGATCCATTTGGGTCCATCGCTGGCAAGCTACAGGAAGACGCCAAGTGGCACTTCACGCCCAGTGTCTAAAGGCGAGGCTACCGAGAAACAGTGGATGCTCCGCACACAGTCTCAACAGACGCTGGCCGTTGTCCGCCTTTTCGGATTTATGTCCATAAGTACTACCTAGCTGAGCTTCTGTAGAGCCCAGGCGACCTACTTGTGCATTCACGTCCCCTGCAAGAACTATGATATCTGAACTGGTAGCATTGCGTAGTAGCGTGTTCAGTTCGTGGTAGAATGTGTCCTTGACAGCATAGAGCTGCAGTCGGTGGGATCATAAACGGAAACCACAAACAAACAACGCCTTGTACTACTTTGTGAAGCAGCCTTACTTGATGTCGTCAAACGGGCTGCTCACGGGAATCCAATCAACTAACCATGACTCATAGCTGAGAACGATGACTACCCCAGTTTGACCATTGAGTGCCGGATCAACCTCTCCGGATGCGTGCAACCAACAGTGAGAGGACAAGCCGGGCGCAGTTACTTCAACGATCCCGTGAGGGTTATTGATCTTGGTTTCGGATACGCAACACACCTCAATACCCAATGCGTCCAAGGTGCTTGTGAGTGCAGGCTTTTGTTCTACTTGTCTTAGAGTGCTTATGTTGGGCGCCGCCAGGAAAACGGCACAACGTGATCTTATAAGGGAGTGTTGCCGATAGGGGTCCAGTGGGTGGTGCGGGAAGGTAGCTGCAGATGCTTCGACTACAATGGCATTATGGCTGCTATCAATTAAGCTGGGAATTATAGTAGTTCAGTAACGGGTAGGTGGGAAGTATGTGAAACAGGTACAAAAGGAAGAAGGGAGGTGCCAGCAGTAGCATGTTTTCGCTTATCCGCCCCGTTGTATGCAGCAGATAACGCGACCTTTGATAATCTGCGTGACCGCTGATGCAGGGTGTAGTAGCAGTTTGAAGAAAAAGTCACGGTTATACCTGAGCTGGGATTCTACCAGGGCGCCCAGACCTAGACAAGAGGACGATTAGGGTTCTCAATCAAAGCCTCTGGCTCAAAAGCCTGTCCGTAAGGCAACGGAGAGGTGGCAATGATTTAGTCTTACAGATATCGACGCCTCCCATCTCAAACCCCAAACCTGAAGGGTCAGGAGAGTGAGTTTATCTAACCTCTAACCATTGACCAACGTGGTAGGTGTAGCTCTCAAGGGGCCCCGGGGCAGCACCCAGTATAGCTCAATGGGTCGTCAAGGTACGCCAACCATCTCACCACGTTACGGTTCAGTCTGGTTGCGAAAAATAGACTCAACCACTCGGAAGTGGAGAGCTAGGGTGTCGAAGAATAAGACAAACAAGTGACAAAGAATGATTATACTTCAGTGGCGATGAAAGCTAAAAGAATCGTCAACAACAATTAGATATGACTCAGACTTCGCTGGTGAAAAGAAGGTTAAAACAACATGGGCTACATCCCAGCTATGCTTATGATGTAGTGAGATAGGGAGATGGGACTAGATCCGTCCCCTCTAGCGAAGATAAAGATGCAACGCCAATTAGGAAATTGGTCAAAATGTTAAGCAATACAATGTGGCAGCAACACCTCATGCGATTGAGTCCACCACTAGGGAACAGAGAGCTACGCTGTCGGAGGATTGGAAAAACAATCGGCAGAGAGTGGTTATGCATCAATGGCGATGCTAAGCAATAGGATCGGTAAAAAGTAGTAGATATCAGTCAGACGGCGCTGATGAAAAAAAGTAATAAGAGAACGTGGGCTGGATAGCAACTATGTTTCAGATGAGGATATATAAGATGTAGGAATAAATGCACCAGCTGTAGAGAATATGGCGATGCAGAGCCGACTGGGGATTGGCCAATGGTCAATAAATATGTTGGGGTAGAATTGTCTAATTTAACTGAGTCCACCACTCGAGGGTGAAGAGCAACGTTGTCGGAGGATGGGATGGTCAGAGTAAAAACGGAAAACTCGTAGAAGTCAGAAGCACTTTGAATCACCTGTTGAAGCACTACAGCTGATCAGAGGCTGCTGATTGCATGTTGGGTCAGTGTACAACTGAAAGCAGAGACGTAGACACAAAAATCATAGGTTCGATCTCCAGTAGGGGACCGAGGGAATGGGCACCAATGAAGAGCCTCGATAGGGCGAAACGCGTCTGGTACTTTTCTGGATTACGATTGAGCTATATAAATTGTGAACTGCTAGGACAAATACATTAAAATTATTACTAAAATCCTCCTACTCATAAGCAGCTATCATTAATCAAATAGTCACTGAGTAGGCAGAGTTGCAATCAATGTCCAACCAAGAGTGTTCACTCATTCAGACCCACATAATTCCAAGGATTCTTGAACTATCCTTGGACAGTCACATAAATTGGAAATCAATGAGCGCATTTCAACGCTTTTTCAATCGGTGATATGCAGACGAATGCAGTTACATTGGAAATTGCACGTAACTCAATGTGCCGCGATCAATTCTAAGTCATATTTGGAAGTTTACTTGCCCCACATTTTCGCCTCAGTTGCGGCACAAAGTATGTGAGGAGAAGCAGTGCACATATCTTTCTTTTTTATTTCACTTTACAGATCGAGTTGTCGATATTTAATAATCTGGAACCAAAACCGATTGTACCGAAATATATGGCGTTGTACATTGGGTTGGCTGTCTTTGGTGGCATTTTGCTGCTTGCCATAATCGTCATCATTTTGAAAAAGGTGAGTGTACACGTGGCTAGCTGCTTCTGATGTTGGCCAGAAATACTTTAAAATTGACTTTTCAACCATTTAAACTTGTGAACGTAAACCACCGATAGTTGTCAAATATCCATTGGCACCTCCTTTTATGGTGAAAAAAGGTACACTTCTATGCTCAATTCAATCATTTTCACCTCCCCGTTCAGTTCATTTTCTGGATATCGTTCTTTTCAGGCCGGGTTCTTTAAACGTAGAAGATTTATTCGGAGACCGAAAAAGGACCTGAAAAACCAAACGAAACCAGATTATCAAAAATCAGTCACTGAAAGGGAACCTTTGTACACGTCGGAGCAAATAGGTTCGCAGCAATACGAAAGAAGAAGACCTTATATGACTGATTATCGACCACACCCAGGACCCTATATTCAGAGTCACACAGGATCTACCCATGGGCACGCTGGCTCTGGATACACTCATGGCCCACGCACCCAACAGACTTCAGATGGATTCCCCAGAGAAACAAACAACTTCACACATTACCGATGAGAGGGATTAACTTCTTTTGTATCATTATACCATTGCCACATTCTCAAAATGACAAGTATGTCGCTGCGCTACCATTGCCACTGCGTGGCGAGTCATGACTTTTCATGCTCACTGAACTTCGAAGTGACGTTTTTGTTATATCAGACAACAATGAAAACCCCCTCGATAAACGAAGTCGTCCATCCTGGAAACGAGCTATGCACATGTGGACCAGAATAAAAATCTTACATATCAGTCACAAGGTTCGAGAATTGTGAGTCATACTGTATGTAAAATGAAAGCAATTCAGTAAAAATTACATGAATTTGATCCACACGAGGTAAACTCGGTATGTGATTACTGTCCTTGTAACCAAGGAGCTCGGATGGTAGTCACGAGCCCACCGGTTCCAATTGCCACTAGTTCGTTTCTGTTGGAAAGTATCCGCGCCATCAATGGGATAAAACGTCAAATAAGAGACAAAGAGATGCCAGAAAGGGGCCGTCAAAGAGTTCAGAGACAGATTAACAATGCGAATTCTTGCCGCGCGCCCCCTTGGTCATTAATGTACTGAACATGGGAGCGAAGCGTAAATCACCATGGTTTGGTTACTTTCTACCAATGGATCTTAGAACGCGTTTCCGAGAGACAGGAGCGGATAAAGATCCTAACTACAATAACAAACTTGGTTACGAAAACTACGTTAATCAAGACTGAAACATCTGTCTGATGTCGTCACACCTGCTGGGTTAGCTTCAGAGATTTGGAAGACACCAGCGATATAGACAGATGTACAAATGGCACCAGGTTTCGAAAACAGCATTAAAGGAAGCAAAACGCATCGTCGGTATATCAGCGCTCTGTTATAATGCTTCCCTATCACGCAAGCAAGGGTGGTTCTGTGCGGACCGCGATAGGGCCAAGCCGCGGAAACCCAAATAGTAGCGGGGACTCGTACCCAATGTGAGATGCGTCGTACAACCTAGATACACTTGTGCACCGTATTTATGCCGCAGAGCATTAGGCTGTCATCCATGAAGTCTATAAGAATGCTGAAATAACGCAATTCGGCTCAGCTCTAACACAGCCAAGCTTTGCATGTCAGCCGGAGGCTAATAAACACAAGCTAATGGCTTAGCTTGCGTACGAGAATTGACAATGAAAGTACTCTGATCCAATTTAAGGGACTTAGTGGGGTACAACAGTGGACGTCAGGAGTATTCTTTCCGTACCGTTACCACCACCAAATATGCGCGTAGCTTGGTAGACAGCGAAAATGAACTCCTATCATCACAGAAGCATTGTGTGATGCAGTGCGGTACAACATCTCTCAGTCGGCCACATCTTAGTAGGTGGCCAAAGTTAACGAAAACCACCTGAACATTAGCAATGAACATGCCAGCCACTTCGGTGACCTAACATAAGCTGGCACAGATGAAGGAAAGTGAATAGCAGGAACGCTTCAAGAGGTCGACCGGTGCTCGTGATCCTGTGGAGTGTTGGTGCAGTCCAAGAGCTATAAAGTGCATATTACGGGTGCGAGATAAATGCCAAAGCGTGCAGCACTCTAAGTTAACCGAATAGGTAGCAGCTGCTTAGGAAGCAAGTATGAGTGCCGAATCCCATTAGTATTCTGCTTTAGTCGGTCCCCAGGTGGAATGCCCAATAAAAATGGTGCGCTTTACACAGCATAATACGCGATGCTTTCAAGCACACAGTAAACGGGGAGAAGATGGTTACTCTGGAGCACTCCAAGTGTGATGCTGACTTCGCAGCAGATTCAGGTTTGCGCATACAGTTTAGAGAGCACAGAAATGATATTCGCTTGACGCGATCCGCAGCGGCCCACAAAAGCACAAACCGACACGATCAGCTGAATCAAAGCAGTGTGCAAGACAAGAAAGGAGACAGTTGCTGGAGGTTTGTATATCCTACGATCTTCCACTAATTAGGAAGTGTTAATGAACATATTTAGCATCCTTCATCAAAGGCTACACTGAGAGTACTTATGACCATCGGGAGATGGTGCACCACCGAACTCTGATGCTTGTAAGCACTGGCGCCAGCGCATGTTTCGTGGGAATAACGTGCAATAGCCGCTAGCCTGAAAGTCCTCACACTGTGCTCCAAGTAGCGCATCAGAGACCGGATAAGCAATTAGCAGTTCAACATATTTGTTCAACACCAATTTTTGCACGGAAATGCAGTGAGTTTAGTAACCTTCACTCAATTTGTGCAAAAATAATACACAATCAAATGAGGTTATGACCACTAAGTCACGGGAGAAGAGCGGCAGCCACTGTGACCAAGTAAGTAGCTGAAACTGTAGCCCGACTCACTCTCCAGCACTATGCGCACCTCCCACGTGCAGAGGACTAGGTCAGCTTCTAGAGGCACGAATTCCTTCATGGAATTACTCATCCTAGGGAAATATGTATAAGCTAGCTTCTACAGTGTGCTCGTCGGAAAGTGGTGAAATGAGGAATTTGGATTATATTTCGCAACGGATTCACCACAGCTACATTCAAGCAGAGAGCCACTGCACCTTAGACCAAGCACCAGACGACCGTTCCATCCTTTTCTGATTCGTCAGCACTGCGCATCCCACAGGCTAGCTGAGAGTCTAGAACCTGTGCCCCTTTGCTTACAATTTAGTGGGCAGGACCACCTTACCACGGAGGATAGGCGGTACACACCGTAATCACTAAATCAGGCGTTATGTATTGCTGTTCATCTAAATATTTTTGCACGTGTTTATCAACTTCAAACTGAATCACACTAGCCTAGGACCACTGCAAGCTCTCAAAATCATTTAAAATCCATTCGACGTGGCCGATCGGTTTGCTTATCCATGTATTATATTCCTGCGCAAAACATTTACAGCTAAACCTATAGACCACTCACAATTGAAAAATATCCCTGAATATATTTGGCTGGCAGTTGCGGGTGTCTCATCTTATACGCTGCTCGCATCTATCTACAACCCACCGAATGCGTCTAACGGAAGTATCACCAACATCACTTCAGCATTTGACTTTGCATCAGAGTTACCACAGCCAGAAGATTACTGCCGACGATTTCGACCTACCGTAAATACGCTGGTCATCCCACCCAACGTCTACTTTACATGACTCTTTTCTTTCCTGCATCAGAGCAGGAGGCTGAACACAGTGGATTGCCAGTCCAACCAGGTCCGCTAATGTACTGGACTTAATATTCACATTTGGAATACCCAACCCAAAGACCGAGATCTTAAACAATCACCCTGGCAGCGATCGTAAAATTATCCGACTCAGTTTCCAAATTAAATTGGCCACTAAACTCGCCTCTACACAGCCGGGTTCAACCCATAAGATAAACTGGGAATGTTTTCAGCAGTTCATTCGTTTCTCCGACTGGGATGTATTCTTCCTCTCTACCAGTGTGTACACCACTGTGGAATAGTTCTATAAACAAATCCATCACGCTATAGCCCTCCTTGCTCCACAATGTGTTCATACCCCTCATGTCTCCGAAGATTCCGTCAAGCAATTAAGCAGCAAGCAAACCAGAAAGTTAGCTGGCAAATACGCAAAGACCCATGACTTTTCACAGCTTTCAAATGCACAAATTTGCCACCAGAGTCAAACATGAGCAATTAACACGTCGAAAATATGAAGAACATATAACGCTACGGACAAGCTGCAAAGCTAGGGAGTTTGTCAAAATACTGTATCCTAGAACCAGTGACCGCTCTCCTCTGTTTACCGAAATTGTTGATGGTGAGGGTCACTTACTCCATGACCCAGCTAAAATCTGTGAAGCATTCAGTGACTTTTTACCATTACAATGAGTCGCGAAGCTGACCCGGTGCCTCTGTGCACAGAGCTCACAGAAACAAACCTCTAAGCAGAGTCGATATCTCGCTCAACGCTATCCATCAAGTTATCAAATCAATCAGACCCTCTTCCAAGCTGGGATCTGATGGCATTTCACCAACAATCATTAAACTAGGACGGTCTGATATACTAATGCTCCTGATGAGCATGTTTGCTCTATCGCCAAAATCTAGCTACTTTCCAGACCAATGGAAAGCGTCATTTATTATGCCTCGGCGTAAAGGAGGTCCCAAACAAATGATTGATAACTACCGACCAATCCACCACACTCCGATAATCGCTCGGCTATTTGGAAAACTGGTCAGAAAGGAGATGATGAGCTTGTTGTTTCTGTTTACCTGATCGATACCTCGCAGCATGGACTTCTTAATAAGCGATCATGCACCACCTGTCAAGTGCATTAACCTAACCACATTTCGGAATCAATCGATTCCGGATATGCGGTAGTAATCCTGTTTCTTGACATACACAAGGCATTCGACTGAGTACCGCACAAGCGATTGTTACAACAGTTGGAGAACTTTGGGATCCAGGACCCATTAGTAGGTTGTCTATCGTCATACGTGAGTGGTCGTCACCAGGTAGTCACTTTAGGTAATTATCGCTTTTCTCCACGCTCAATCACCAGTGGGGTCATTCAGGGGAGCGTGCTCGGTCCCTCACACTTTTTACTCTACATCAATGACATCACCACATCTGTAAAACATGCTACGCCATTTTTATTTGCTGACGATATCAAAATCGTCTATAAGCTTCGACGTGATGAGCTTCACGGGACACTACTGATCATTCAAGATGTTACATTCCCTTGAGTCACGGTGCTGCACATGGGTGATGAACTTCTAGGCTAACAAATCCGGCATCATGTCTTACGGCTGCTGCATACCCGAAGGATCTATCACCGTAAACAATGAACACGTCCCTACACAGCTGTACGCTCGAGATCTTGGTATTAGATACCAGTCTACCTACAATTTCTCCGAACAGGCCCAATACCAAGTAGCAAGTGCCAGACAGTCTATGTTCAATATATCAAACCAAATACACACAGCTCGTGCAAGAGTTGAGCTTTGCAAGCTACTCACTCGCCCCATCTTCGAATACCGCAGCATAATATGCGGAAATATGAGAAAGAGTGACAGAATTGCTGTGGAGCACCTGCAGAGGTCACTTACTAAACATGTGATTGGTAAGCACTCTACAGTGAGTTATCAAGAATGCAGTGAACTTCATCTCGAACCATTTTGAATTCGGCGATTGAAGCACAACTTGTTGCTGCTTTTCAACGTGCTACACAAAAACACCTATCCCGCCCTACGTGCACTCAAGTTAGAATATTTCTCAACTCGAGCGCTTCGCAACAAAGGTTTTACACT